GGTCATGTGACACTACCCTGTCAACATTCAGCCTTAATTGGCAGAATAAAAGACACAAACCGTGAGTTTGATGCCTGCTGTTGTCACACACACACGGAGAGGAAGTGAGAAGAAAGAATACATTTGGAATAAAAGTCTTGTAGGCTGTGTTCAGTGAATAATTGAAGTGTGAGAGGAAACCCAGTGAGCAAAGAGGAAAAAAGGAGATGAATGTGTCCCTGATTGTGTCACTGTGTGGTCGTACTGCTGTTTTTGTGCGCACCTTGTGTGTGTCGTTTGTGTTGGAGCACGTGTCAGAGATTTCCTTTATACTTTCTTTCAAATATTTAGCATGTGGATGCTTGACATGCTCGCAGGCTGTTTTTCCTCTCGGAGAGGCAACTGGGATTGACCAAATCATCCACCGGAACATCCACTCCGCTCCTTACTTTGGTATCCTGTCAACATACATCCATTCTCCAATTATGTGAGTATCTTATTTATATTTATTCGAGATTACATGAAAACTAATGGTAATTTCCCAGTTAATAGAATTTGAACTGTCTTTGAAAGTCTGAAGAAAATGCTCCAACATGTGCACGGGGATGTAGGGTAAATTTTGAATTTTGTTTTAGTTTTATTTACACAAGTGAGCACTTTTGAAAGGTGAATACATACAAACAGGGTTACTACAGTTTAATGGTGAGGCAGAATCAGCTGCATTGGGACTACTGCAACTTTACATTGGTTAATATTATGCATTTGAAGTTTTTAAAGTGGAATTTTAAAATGAACAATAGTTCTAAGAATTTGGGTCAAACCCCTCTGGCTGTTTGGTCCAACAAACAAAGAGGTCATAATGTAAGTTATGCTGATTCTGTGCTGATACTGTGCTGATTTGGTACTTCTGGGTATGAAGAAGGAATGAAATCAACATTTGGTCTATAGAATATCTTTTTGTTTTCCGCCTTACGATCGAAATGGAAATCCTTGCTCTTGAACTCATGGAATTGGATTGTAAACCTGTTTAATTGAATGGGATTTTAACACAAACTTACTCTGACACATATTTCTTTGTCTAGTAAAAAAAACTGAAAACAGTAGCAAGTGCTCCATTCCCTGTCAAAGCTCTGAGCCATCTCCAAGCACAATGACAGCGATCTAAATGAAGACATTCATTAAACAAAATAAGACAAAAGCTATTCAAAAAGTCAAAGTTGAGTAATAGCTCCAGATCTTGTTTGATGAATAAATGATTGCACACACATGGTTGCGCCCCACATAGCAACCACTCGTGTTTATGTTGTAAAATAGGAAAAGAATAGAAAAAAAATAACCATCTACACCCTGCAACATAGAAAAATATGATAAATAATAAGGAATTGGTTTCAAAAGGTACCATTCAGGGCCCATTCTTATCATTTTCCCCTTTGGTTCCAATACATTGTTGCAGAGTATTCAGTATGTAGGTGGCCACTGAATGATCATCAGTTTTTAAAATCCAGTGTTATGATTTTTTCTGATATTGTTACTAGTAATTCAAACAGTATTTAGGCTTTTATCGAAGGTGTGAAAATGCTGCGTGACCTTCTTGTATGAGCTGGACCATGCTGTGCAAACGGAAAACATGTTAATTAAGTTAACCCGAGTGTCAGAAGAAGGAATGGGAGTGTGTAACCTCCCTCACATGTGGTGGCTCTTTTGGTTTAACTACAAATCCTTTGGAGAACACAATGATAAGAACACCAGCCGGTTTCTAAACATTTTGGAAGCATTATCAGCACATTGCTCTGAACATTAAAATGGATGACACATGCAAAGGTTTTATGCATGAAAACAATTTGGGTTATTGTGTTAGCTATACTGCAGGTGACCAGCAAATTGTGAATGAAAAACAAACCATTTGTGGGTAATTTCATCAGTCTTCTATTTGGTTGTAGATTCCTCTTTTTACTAATTACTATACTCATTTTGGAACCATTTATTAATTGTGTATGTCTTCCTCCATGACTGCTAAGACTGCCAGGTTACTAGTTCTCGGCAGCTTGCTACAGGCTGTAATTTTTTATCCTATTTGTGAAGAAGGCAGAGCTCGTTGAGTATTTTGAGAGGTTCCTGTGAAAAACGAATAAGTATTTCTGAACAAAATGCATCCCATTTGGATGGTGTATTAAGTCTGAGGACTTCAATTGGTTGGTATGTATAGGAGCAAAGGTACTGGTAAGGGTAAGTGTAAGATTATAGGGTAAACCAATCAGAGCCCTATCTCCATTTTACACAGTCTATATGTGTATTTTCTTCAGTAAAGTGCACTGAAAAGGTGCATGAAGAGGATGTGAGGATAAAACCAGATATTTTTGAAGTTCTATATCCCTCTAACACCTATCCTGAGCCCAAGGAAGCACCTGTTTCTGAAATTGTTAATAATATATACTTTGGCCAAAATCATGGCTCTGGTTTATTTGACAAAGTTGTCTAAACAAAACTGCCCCACACATTTAGATCCATTTTTCTATTCTCTGAAATACAGTTTAATTGGTAACACAGTTAAAATTGGTCCAAACCACCACAGCACAATTACATTTTATTCATGTGCTCTTTTAAAGTAAGTAATCATTTAACCTTTTTCTGCAATTCCTCTTAAATATTGGTCTCAAATGGGATTTTAATCTCAATCTTTGACTGTCTCTCGGTGCTAAATCATCATGTAGAATTCTTTATTGAAGGAAAACCTTACATATCCAAAGCAGCAGACCCACAAAAGAGGCTTTGAAGTTACAGTAAAACGCTGCAGCCTGAACACCGCGTTACCATAGGAACTATGCTTTCAGCTAATGAATAAGAACGGATCATGTATGTTTTATGTCTTATGTCGAATTACCCACACATGCTGCCAAAAGCGTTCTGCTGATATCAGTCCAAACACAATCTTTCAAAATATGCAATCAGTAGGATTTGTTTTTATGGCTTAAATGATATCCACCTAAATATGGAGTTAAACGCTCTAATTGTCAAGTTAAAGCCTTTACGTCTAATCTGCTGCCATTATGTATTTTGCAGGCATGAGTTCAGAAACTAATCTGTAATAATTTTGTCACAGAACTCCTCTTGTGATTGTGGTTTCTTCTCCATACAGCTTTCTCTTTCTGAAGAAATAACCTGAATCAGACAAAGAAAACTGACAGCAGAAAACATTCACCCTGGCTTTTTAAGGCATGAAAATATACGCTCCCCACCAAACACATTACCAGCGAGGTATGACTCATACACAAACAAAGGCAAGGCTGCAGTGCTAATACACAGAAAACACACAAAAAGTGACAATATAACAGACACTGCTTCCTCTTTAAAACATCCGTTGGCCATACTGTTTTTGTTTGTCTTACGAAGGTCTGAAATGTCACCATTTTAAACCATATAAAAAGCTTTAATCTGTGGCTGTTCCATGAGAGGGCCAAGGCTGACACCGAGGCAGAATAATGAAATCACGCTTCGTATTCACTCATTCACTCTCTCTGGAGAAGAGCTCCCGAGGTCTAAGCAACCTTTTGTCGGGGAGTTATTTCCTTCCGCGCTGGACATAATCTTTCCCATTATTCCGCTGCATACAATGATGTCTAGATGTGACTTGCAATCCAACCCCATCAAGAAAAAAGTGGTCAAGGGCACACTGTGGAGGAGAGCTGCATATGCCTTTTAATCTTTTATGTATTAGTTTTCCAAGTCTTTCATAAATGTATTTATGAACATCCATATCATCATTTAGGTTTAAATTGAAAAAGCACTGGTAATGACTCAATTACATTACATAAAAAGGGCAAAATCTCTTGATATATGGCGGTTTTGTCTTTAACTCTCATTTCACTGTTTGGGAAAACAGCCATTACCTGGAGGAGTGTGAGTGTGTGTGTGTGTGTGTGTGTGGCCGGGATTGACTGATGCCTCCGCGCATACCACGATATGTGATTAGAGAGAGTTATGGCCAGCGGTCACAATCTCTTGCGGATAAATTTACAGCTGACACATGACAGCACACCTGGCTGAGCTCACTGTAAATCCAACACGCGGATCGTCCTTGAAAATTCGGTTAAAATCCCTGTAGCCGAAATGGAAGCCTACAGCCTTTTTTATGTACGTCACTGTCATAAATTACCTGGAAAACCCCCAGTTTAAAGCAGCTCCAATTACTTTATATGATATATAAGTGGTTATTCCTTGGCGTGCACTCGCCAAAAACAATTAACTGCTATTAAAGCAGATCATTAATGGCCCATAATTTAGGAATTTTCATTAATCATCTCAATTAAAAGCATCATATTGTACCAATAAGATGATGACAGAACAGGAAGATACTGATTTGAAAGTATTTTCTGATGAAGATATGATTTTTCCCCCCTCAAAACTACAAAACTCATTCACTCAAGTGAGCAACATGCGTTAAAGCATGCTATAACAGAGGTATAACCCCTTTTTTTACAACAAAACACAAATGAAAAATCTTACAACAATCACAATTTTGTGTTTCACATATGTCAAATTTATTTCTGAGACCAAAGTAAACAAAAACTGTATCCATAAAAATTGCGCGCTCAATAATTAATTACATTTTAGACACAAAAGACTGGCCATGCCTATTTCACTATTGTTTTGAATATTCAATCCACCTTTTTTAAACTGTCCTCAGAAAACCCGGGTGTTTACGTCTGTGTGGATATCCAACAACAGTGTTCTTCTCTGAATCTAAAACGCTTTGAAGTTCTCAACCAAAATACCCCCGCCTAAGGGTCATGGTGTTTTTTTTCACCGTCCTACAACCCACCTATCGCATCCGCTGGGCTTTGTGCGGTCAGACAGTGTTCCGAGCCGTGGACCTTTGACTTTGCGGGCTGTCGCGGGGACTGAGCAGCCGTCCGAACAGCTGTGGCCTCGGTGCCTCGTCCAGATCTGTGCCCCCCCCCCCTTTGTCCAGATATCTCTCTCTCTCTGGACGAGAGACGTTAATAGTGTCAGCGTGGGTGGCGCTAAAGAGCCCGTTTGTTGACGCTGAAGATTTTGACGGCGCGGTCGGCACTGGCGCTGGCCAGCTGGAGCCAGCAGCCTTCTTCCTCCTCCTCCTCTTCCTCCCCCTCCTCTCCCCCCCCTCCGTGGCCCTGTCCTGCTCTCTTACTGCCCTCTGCGCCTGCTCGGCCGGCCCTGGGCCTCCAGCGGAGCCTCTTCACTGCCAGCGTGTGGCTTTGTCTGCGAAAAGATTCTGGGTGAAGGAAGACAACGGCCTAAATATAGCGGGGGGGGCTTGGCGACTGCCGGATCTTCCCTCGGAAAAATCGCGATATGCGGACGCACAAACACCGAGGCACAGTATCTGTTACACAACTAGCCGGAGGTAAAAAGCAGAACGCACAGATCGGCTGACGCCATTCCATTCCAGAAAGTGTTGAACTGAGTCAGTCATCAGTCCGACTTGCCTGAGGAGCAGTGCTGTTTTATTACAAAGTGAGTAAAAAATAGTAGTCTGTAGTCACCCTGAACAGGACAGGTAATTATCCTAACACGCAAGGGGTCAATTACCTCTGCCCCCACGCCCCATCTGTTGAAAGGAAGCAGCCGTTCACTCCCGTGGGCCTTTTGTGTCTTTTTTTCGGCCGGACCAAAACAAAAAGCTCTAGCCTCTAACCGGACATCGGACTGAAGCCGATCCGCTGTCACTATGATAAACTGACCATTATGTGTGATGTCAGCGCGGTAAGGATACGAGGCGTCGGTCTGACCGCAGCGGATCCAGTCCCCTCCTCCAGCCGACTCCTGTCCAGGGCTCCACCGGTACAGCAGGATGCGTCCACTCTCCAGGCCAACGGCCAGCAGGTAACTGCGGAACAGGACAGAGAACTATATGAAACCTGAATTCCCTAAAACTCGTAAGTTTTTGGCTCAGGTAAAGATTTTTGAAAATGGGCTCTACCTTACAGCTAATTTTCCTCAAAAGAAAGCCCCTTGCCTCTTTGGTATTCACGCTCTGGCTGTTTCTTTTTAAGTTATCAAATGTAGAATTAGAAAATTAGAAGCATTTCATGCTCATTTTTTATTCCCAATGTTATTACCTTCTGGGGTAATCATTTGTCTCACCCAAATCAGTACAATATATTCATGTGAGCATGTCGTGTATTTGAATGGGGATAATGATAATTCACGACTTTGATAAACCACCACCGTCACAGTGATGGAGTTCATGGTTCCAAACATTTAGTTCGCCATCCTGAGCGGAAAACGGCGCCGTTTATTCTCGATGGTTAAACTCCAGCATTTCCAGTTAGATCCCTTCTGGACCTCTTTGATCCAAACTATCCCATTTATATTGTCATTTTGGGACTCAAAATAAAATTCTAATGTTCTTCCTCTTTCTTGTTTAGATGTTTTTCGAGGAAAATAGAATAAGCTTCAGCGGAAGACGATCAATAACGCAACACAGCAATGATCATTTCACAGTTTTTCAAAGCAAAGAACAATCAGACAGACCAACAAGGTCCACGCTGTATATAAATGAGGAGATTACACAGTGCGTGTATGTGTGTGTGTGTGTGTGTGTGTGTGTGTGTCTGTGTGAGTTTGTGTACCTGTTATCGGAGCAGAAAACAGGGCAGAAAGCTACAGCTGTAGCCGAATCGCCCACATCCAAAATGGATGAACACGGTTTAATCTCCAGAGGAAGCGCCGGCTCTTCAGAGCACTCCGGCCTGCACGGGCCCCACACGATCACCTACACGTGCGCACCCACACACACACACACACGGATACACAAAAAAAGGCTCTGGATGAGCAATCTGAAATGTTGACTACTCTAATGCGAGCATCTGCTTCATCACTTCGTTACCTTCCAAGCAAATTAGATTTTTCGCGTTTTAGAAATTTAGCCAACATTTGGGGGAAGATTACCCTCTTGTCCCGGCTGGATGTCACAAAGTACTTGCTGTCGGGGCTCCAGTCACATGACCAGATGATTCGGCTGTGGACGGCCGTGTCCTTGGCGGTGTGTGCGTGCAGGGAGAACTGGGGCTCTGCGGACAAACAGACGGGGGACGGAGAGGGGATGTAAAATTGAATTCGAACACAACGCTGAGCGTTATCGGCCAGACAACGCAGCGTATATTTTTGTCACATTTCATCTCTCTGCATTTCAGCAGAGGATGAGCTGCTGGTAAAACTGCGTTATGATTATTGCTCTGTGACATCGGCACGTCCTCGGCAACAAATAAACCCCCCCCCCCCCCCCCCCACCCAACCGGGACCCCCCCCCCCCCCCCCCTTTCCCTCCGCTTTGGTTTATGACCTGCTGCCGTTTATTTCCCCGGCCCGAGTCATTTCAGATCCCAGATTGGTTTTCCCCGGAGGGCTCGTTGGTATGCCGCTGGCAGCCCCCAGCTCTGTGGGCTGGCAGGAGTTGTGCTTTCCGTGTACACGTGCGTAAAAACGCTAAGCTCAACGCCGTGTTGTTGTCCACGGTGACCTCCTCCAAAAAAAACATAAAAACACATGTTGATAGTTTTTGTTGGGGACGAGCTGCCACCTTTTTCTGTTAGCGGGATTCTGAAATAGATGTTTAGTCCACAGAAAACACCACGCACGTGCAATTAAAGACTTGTTAAAAAAAAAAAAGAGAGAGAAATAAAGGAGGTGTTAAGGGATGGACGGAGGACATGCTGACACAAAGCAGGTAGGAGAGCGGATGTGTGAACAGGGAGCGGGCGTGTTTGATCTGCGCCGACTTCGTTTAACCTTCCCTCGTCTGGCCGGGGAGGCTCTCCGCATTCTCCACAATCACCTTGAGTGATTCGGCAGCCAACCGGAGCGGACGTGCCCACACACACACACACACACACACGCACGCGCACGGCTGGCTGCATGGCCTCCGCGCAGCCCGCCGTCCGGGCGACCGGGGCGGGTGCACGGCCGGTTATCCTCTGTCAGAGCACGTTAGGACCACGGGAGACGCTTTACCGGGCCGAGGTGAGAGGGTGAGAGGTAATCCCCGGGGCTTACATGTCGTGCCTGGCTCATCTTCAATGCGGGATTGACTTATTTGTCAGAGTCGGGGTGCTTAGAGCCTCTTTAAAATAAACAAACCCCTTGGTTTTACATTGGGGGATGTAACTGAGGGGTGTTAGCCAGTAAGGGGTTACCTGTAATCAAAAAGGATTGATTAATGGGCACAACTGGCTTGTCTATGACCTGGAAGCAAATTGTTCTCTTAGAGGGGCTCCACTTTATTAGTTATACACATTTTGAGAGTCACCTGCCTCCTGCTATTTACAATGAAGCCATCCGGGGGAACAAACCCACAGTACAAAGGTTTTAAAGAATTCTATGATGCATTAAATGAATGTATTTAAAGTGCAGTAAAAACAAAAACAACAAAAACCTAATAGTTGGTTTAACCTTCTCAGCATTTCTAAAAGCATCGCTTTTGCTGTGCTTCCACGATTACTATAGAAAAAGGGTTTTGTTTTTTTCCAGATGAGTCAAGGAGAGCTATCCTACTTACATCTCTACATTTGATCTAACACTCTCATGATGACATGAGATCAGGGCACTTTGGGGAGTCGTGCCAGTGTGTCAATGACACGACTCCCCTGCCTTTTTGTCAGGACTGACTCAGGCTGCAGATTGAAATGAGGACAAATCAGATGCATCCCAGTTGGCGCTGTCTGATGGGGGGCTAATCTAAACTGATGTCTTGAAACTTTTCTTCCAAATAGAAGTGTTGTCAGTGTATGTATTTTTTTTTTAAATGCTGTTTTATTTTGGTGCCTTCCTTCAATGTTAATTCAAGAACACAGCTATCATATGATGCAACAAACTAGCTAAATATGGACAAAACCTAAAGCATAGCTTCTTAGAAATGATGTCAGGAGCTGAAAATTGTACCCAACAAAATTTTGCATCTTGAAGATATGCGCATTAAGAACTCTTTAATGTCAAATTACATTTTAATTTATTGCTATATTACCAATAATGCAATAATGACTTTGGTGAAGATGGACAGGCAAGACTAAAATTCAAATAATGGAAAATGGTAGAGAAGTGTGTTGACATTTAGCTGCTATTGGACTAGATTCAATCAATGCATCACTGGTTTGGCTCATCACAGTATTATTTAGGGAATCCATCCAAAAAGACCAGCTTGGTGCTCGACTTGGAATACATTTCAGAATAAATCAGCTCGGCGGCTTTACCTTATTTTAATTCATGTGCATTCAGATGTCTGCCATAAAGGTTCCAGCATTGTGGTTTTGTCTTAAAATCCAATCAAACAGTTTTTTAATTAAATCAAATGAGCTGGCAAAGCTACATGAATAAATATTGTCTCGTTATGAACCTTGTGGTTACATATCTCTGTTAGTGCCTCTAACTGTGAAGACTTCTTAAATGCAAAGAAGGCTTACAGAATTTATCATGACTAAAAAAAAAAAGCAGTGAAGCTGCAGTGAAGTTAATCTTTAAGTTAGGAATTTAGAATTGCTTGGTTTGACATACGAGATATTCCTTTTGAACTCACCTGGACATTCCTCGGTGGGTGGGTTGCGCCTCCACAGTGACCAGCTGCGATCCCGGGAAACGGCCAATAGCAGCTGTGCGTCGGGTGAGAAGGCCATCTGGGTGACGGTGAGCGTGTGGCAGGGCAGCGTCTGCAGCTGACGCCAGGTCGCCGTGCTCCACAGCAGCACGGCTGCGTGCTCGGCTTTAGACGCCTGGATAGACGGCACACGTCAGCTCATCGGCGCAAAATCCCTGAGTTTTGTCATTTCCTCTCTATTCACATCCTGTATATACGCCTTTTTTCTGACCTTTTCTATTGTCCACTTTGCCTCATCTATATCCTGGAAAGCCATTTATAGTAGTAATTTCTCACTTACACATTACATTTTACTAAGTACTCCATGGACAGGGTTGTAATTTCGAAAAATCAAGCTTCCATTATCATCTGTTGTATGTCATCTCATGCTGAGGAAGCTAAAACGTGTAGCATCACGTGTGTTTGGGCCCAGTCAGGACATGTACAGCCGAACCCTGGCTGACGGATACGTGCCATCGTGTGAAAACGAGTCTCGCACACGGAACTACAGTCTCTGATCTATGGGAGTCTGACGGGGATGTGGTCTTTAGCCTGGCTTTTGTAACACTGACCTTGCACGCGGACGCCACCACGGTCCTGGCGCTGTCCGACGCGAGGCAGAACATCTCGAAGCCGTGGCCGTACCTGGAGACAGAGACGAGGGAAACAAGCACACAGTGGCAAATCAAAAATGGCCTGCGAGTGCAAAACAATTTTTACAAAAAGGGCCGATGAAATATCGCTACACAGAATGGAAAATATATTTTGAACATATTATTAACAGCGGCTCTAAAATGCATAAGTATCAGATGGCTCCAACCTGAGCCTCCTTGCTATAATATATGGATCCAGAAGGTCTGGGACATATACCAGATGGAATATATAACATACTCCCTGAGACTACAAACACCCATATTCAATAAACGTTGGAGACCGGTCGTTCCCCTAATTATGCAATAAGGTTGTTGTTTTTTTGTTTGGTTTTTTTCTCACACTCTTGTAATCACCCTGTGTTTGTGTTTGCTTGTTTTTTATGTTTAAAAATGTAAAAATATACATGTACATTCGTACCACACTGTATTATTTCTGAAAAAATAATAAAAATTTTGTTAAAATTTTTTTTTTAAAAGGGCCGATGGAACATCAATTTATTAAAAAGCCTAAATCTGGGAATCGCCAGAGCACACAGTTTCATCAGTTAAATGGAGATAAATAATTAGAAAGAGGGCAAAATCAACACACGGATCTGTGTCCACCAGTTTTTCTTGTGCTGACAGAGATGAACAATGATGACAAAGTAACCAATCACTCAGAGCCTAATTGCTTCTGGCTTGCCGTCACGTGGTCGTTTCAAAATGTCAAAGAACTAAAATCACAGTCTACAACTCAGCAGGAAAAAAAAATAAAAATCACGACCATCTTTTACCAGGAAGCTTTCAAAGACCGCGGCCAGTTGGCCGCGACTGGTAGAGCGTTATTTATGGCACAAAAATAATTTACTCAATTACTCATTTTAATGTTTCTATTATTCTGTAAATGATTCGGGAGGTGAGGCCAAATGGAAGCAGAAAACCTGCCTTTCAGCTCACACAATGCCCACACCTTGAACAAAAGGCCACGCCATACGTCATGTTTACGGCGGATTGACTGGTAAATGGATTTAGCATTGGCAACAAATGGAGGCAATACATCCACCCTGGAGAGGAGGCTCATGGGACGGCAGGGAGCTGGAGTCCGATTGGCTGATAAATAAACGCCGACAAAAAAATGGGAAGCCCTTAAAATCCCTCGTTTTCAGACACGATAAATCCTCCGGGTTAAACCAAGCAAACCCGATTTTATCCGAAACGTCGAGTCACCGGAAGTCGATTGAAAACTCACATTAAGAAAAGTGAGCATTGTCCAGACATGGACACACCTCTAAAGCATCACTACTGGGCAGAGAAATTAAGCTTACTGGCAAACAATAATAGGGAGAATTGACCCAACCACTTGAACATCTATGGCGTAATAAACAGTTATTTTTACATAAGAAGCACTTAAATGAACTGATGAGCAAGACGTGTGCCTATGCTATGCATATTACCAACATAAAAGGGAATAATTTTCTATGATCTATAGCACATTTTGAGTCCACATGTGAACTGCCTATAAACAGCACTGTGTATTTCATTTGCTCAATATTTGGTGTTCAAGCAATGAAAATATGAATATATCTGTCACCATCAGACTGAAACCAGAACACCATAAACTTTCTGTGCATTGATAAAATGTTGACATCAATCGATTCAGCTTGGAGAGTGTTAATGGAGAGTTGAAGGTTTTCAATCTCCAGCTGTGCCAATTCAGCTATATGGAACAACTCGTCATCGGTGGGCAAATGTTTATGACAGATCATCATGTTTGCGTTAAGCATTTTGAAGGTCTGGAGTTGATTCCATTTCGGTATTTGGAAGTGAAAGTGGAATAAATTCAAGGCTTTGAAGCTACAGTTTTGTTACTCACAGTTTCTGAACCTCCGGCCAAAGTGTGTTCTGGAGAAGATGATCCTCCGGTGGTGGCTCTGTACACACACGCACACACACACACACAAAGAGGAAAATCCACTGTAAACTTTGAAATCTTTACTTAGCTGCCACTCACAATGGAGCTGTTCTAAAATTCAAATATAATCAGTTTCAATTTATTAAGTAAAGATTATATCCAAGTGAATTGTATAGTCTCTATCTTTTAAATCCCAGTTAGGACCATGAATATATCTGTGAATGAGTGAGCCGCATAATTCAAAGGGGGAAAAAGGTAAAACAGAGAGGAACAGACACAGAAAGAAGAAAGCAACACATTATTTGCTCTGAGAAAATATCCTTTCACATTCATTTCTCTTGGTATTTAGCTCACACAAAATCCTCGGGCCTAAGACGTGCAGCTTTTCCCTGAAAAGGATATGAGAAACAACTGCGGTTTTGTCTTCAATTCCTCATAGCGGCAAGTTTAAAGTGATCGAGTCTGACAGTGAATCAATCCCTTCTCAAACCACCAGATCTGTGTAAGCACGACTTCTTGCCTGCATGTTACATGCAACACAAGACTGCACCTTGCCGTTTACGTTCTTGCTATTGGTTACTGGCTACCCATTTGGCCTAATCATTTTTTTTATTTCCTTGCCTGCAGAGGCCAAATAAGTGAAAAATACATAGCTAACAACAGCCTCCACACTCAGCTGATACCCACACAGCCCGGGGTCACCGATACTTAAACTTTGCAATCACATAAGCCTGGTTTCTAATTAGCGTTGCAGATTAAGGAGTAGCTTCAATCATGCTGATGACAGCCCTGGACACCCTCTGGCCCAGGGGCTTTAAAACACTGGGCCGCTTTCTTCTCATTTGACTCAAGCTCATTTCCCATTTGCCCATTTCTTACTATTAGTTCCTGCTTGAGGCCTCAAACCATCCGCAAATGAAATATCCCTCCGTCATATTTGATATCTTCTCAGTCATTGATAAAACTTTCTCTCTGGCTCAATTTGTAATTAGGAGCAGACTTTTTCTATCTATCTAATTTGATATATTTGTTTGTTTGACCGATTCCTTTTCATCCTCCACTATTATTCTGGATGTAGAGCAATAACTGAGTGTAAATCTGCATCTTCTATTGGAATAACTGGTGACAGACAGATGAGAGCTCCCAAATGTGTTTCTTGGGGAAAAATATGTTAGTTTGAGGTGCTTTACTGTACCTGTCAGGTTGAGCGGGAGAAAATAGGATTCCTGGTACTGGTCCGACACGCTGCTGAAATGTCTCTCTTCTTCATTGGTTTTGGGGACAAGGTCACCTGTAAATCAAAAATGATTTGGCAATTACATTACACAAAAAGAATTCGACTGAATATGGCGCGGCAGAGGGCTGGAATTGAGTCCTGAATGAAAAATGATTGTCAGACTAAATGTGGCACCAATATGAGCGGGAGACACTCAACTACAAAGTGGGCATTTTACCTTGAAATACAGCCTTGTTGGACAGGCCCAAGGCAGGCGTGCTGGCTCCTTCTGGAAGGTTTGCAGAGTCCTGGCAAAACCAGGAAAGGAGAGAGAGACGTTGAAAACTCAAAAATCTCCTGTTCTAGCTTCACTTCTCACAGCGATCCTGTAGGGGGGAACTTACACTGGAAGCCAGCAGCTTCTCTTTTGAGATCCCGGATATGTTGGCAAAGTTCTCCACAAAATTCCGGGGAGCTTGAAACACTCTCAAGACCTTCTCGTCGGCTCCCGACACGAACTGAAACCTTCCAACCATAGTCAGGCACTGCATGTCGTATCCGTGGATCTGCGGCCGGGAGATTTCATGCCAGGTCGCCTGGAGAGGTAAAGGACCCAATAAAATACAGTTAAGAAAAGGGACTTTGGCCATTTAGCTTTTTCCAGTACGACATTTTAGGCTCAAGACTAAATGAGCTCCCGCCATCTGGGGAAGATGGAATGCTCCCTTGCAACTACCAGATTTCATTTGTCAATACACGCTGAAACATTTAACGTTGACAATATGCTTCCAGAAAGTGACTCTATAAAAGTATTTGCTTCAGGGCAGGGGGATAATCCATTTGAGTGGGTCAAGCCTGCTGTACTTCCCTCTATTATACACATCGTTACCTATCAGGAACGCTTTTAAATCCCACACACACGTTAATAAAATTCAATCTGTGACACAGGCTACCTATATTTTGCCAAAACACAGATAGCACAATACACATTACCCTGTGACTACCTCCCCAGGATGTTAATATCGCTCACCTTCACCGGGAGAAAAGCAGCATACCAAAGTAATAACGGCTCAGAGGAAATAGAGCTGCGGATGATTTGAAGGACGTTTTGCAAATGCTAACGCCAGCGGGATGATGCCAAACGCAGCATCTTGTTTTATTTGTTGTCCAATTAATCATTTGATGGCCAGACAACAAGCTCTTTGAAAAAAGAAAAAGAAAAGAAATGTGGCGGGTTTTATGGTTTTTACTACTTCAACTGCAAATCTTCGGGAGAGTTTGAATTTAGAAGAAGGGAAACATCTTGTGGGTTTCAGGAGGGATAGCTATTTTTAGGGTGGCGGCTATAAGAGACAGCTGGATAAAATCAGGTTTGTTCCATTTTATGTTAAAACTGTTCGTTTGACCTCTTTACAAACACAAAAAACATTTGAAAAAAGGAAGTAAAGAGAAAACCGCCTATGCAAACAGAACTTCATTCACACTTTACAATTAATAACTCTATTCCTGGTACTTAAGGCTGAAAAGTGATTTGATGAATATAATTTCGACCCTGGTGATAAACCACATTTAATTTAATATGAAGCCGATTGTTTTCTTTTGTCGCTGTTACATTGCGCTCCATCTGAAACTTTAATGTTCTCTGAGAAGTCCCCGCTAACAAAATAATACCGCCATACCCCCCCCCCCTTTTCCTTTTAGGTACTTGTGTTTCTTTTTACCTGTTTACCGCCCTGCTTCCTCCATGGAGTGAACAGTCTGGTGGTCTGGTCCGAGCCCACGCTGAGGATGAACTCGCCCTCAGGGTCCCAGCTCAGGTCCTGGACCGCATCAAAGTGACCCGATATCACAACTCCTGGTCTCCACTCTCCCTGGACGTTGCAAACATAGAAACCGCAATCATTGCTGTGAAATGGTCAACTCTACAGCTCATACCGACTGTGACGGCCAGCTGCAATGAAAAATGTTACAGGGAAGTGGATTTCCTTCTCTTAAACTTAAACTTTTCAGGTTTGCACTGAACTTTAAATGTGCCGACCAACTGGGTGTAATTGAAATCGGCTATCTCTGAATTCCCATCATGACTTCAAAACTCTACTTTTCCCACAGAGACCGACCACAAAGCCACAAATGAAGCGGCCCCCGTGAATAAAAATCCTCAAATTGCCTAAAAGTGTACCTGAATCTTATGAACCAAAATTAAATTTTTTATACATTTTATTAATTTTCTTTTATTGCCGTTTGTCTGATAGTGCAATTATCCTAAAAATACAAATGTTTTACAAAGCAGTAAAACAGTCTTGCCTTTATCTTTTTGATTAGGCTGATCTGGGGACATTTAGGCCTGTGATGAGTGTTTGTGGAGGGCTGCTCCTCTAAAATCCCCTCTGAGTCTTCACATTTTCACCAGAAAACATACTGAGTATTTGCTCTCTATATGACAGAAAGCTCTAATGGATAAATGTAACTGAGTAAACAACAAAAATGGAAGCAATGGAAGTCCAACTTTGAATTGAGAGCATTCATAACATTCAGCCTCACCTCTTTGTCTTTGTCCTTGCACCAGAGATGTAGCGCTCCATGAAAAGCGTGAGCCACAATCATGGAACCATCTGGACTCATCTGGCAGCCGTAGAAGCCCAGAGTGTTGCCTCCCACCTCCCCGACGCGCACCTGATGTTAAAGAGAAAGAACATTTGTTCTTAAATCGCCAGTTATTAGATCAGAACCGTCAACCTGGCAAGAGGCGAGGAAAGCCCATTGATTGTCGGCCTGTCATCGACTGGCAGCGAATAAAGATGAAAGCCCAATGTGCAACAAAGACAGAAGTCAAAGAGCCACTTATGGAAACATCAGCAGAGTAAAGGGGGTTAGCCGTTTAAATGCGGGGGATTTTTCAGGGTGGTTGGAGCTCACACTATGACGGCACTATGTGCCAACAAGCAGGACTGAAGGGCACTCGTTTGTCTTATCAAACACTTCGGCTTTATGTGAACCCGCAGATTGAATATTCTAGAAAACAAGTGAGAAGAAGAAAGTCAAGCTTGTCAAATCTGTTCTCAGTTTCGCTCCAAGTCTCATTAACTAACAGATTCCACAAAGGCAGACAGAGGGAAGGAGGGGAAAAAAAAACACCCAGCAGATTAAGCTGACGAGAAGGATGAGTAATCATGCAAAATGAGACTTATTAGAGTTGTTTTTTTACACAAAAATAAAAGCGGCCTGACGCCGAATGAGAGAAACTGCTCAGCATGACAAATAAAACATGTACTCATATAAAAAGCACTCAAACAGGATGTGCTGTCTTCAGACCCCTGTATCGTGCTCACCCAGGTGATGCAAACCCTTCATTTAGTCAAAAAAGAAAAACTATTTCCTTCTGAAACACCAATAATCAAACCCTATCATGTTACAACATTTAAATCCTTAAACACTTAAACACATCCTTCAAACTTTGCTTTAGAGACAGCTCCTTACAGACAGTTTTGTATTCAATATTTTTAGATTAAAAATTACTAACCGGGGAAAGAGTCTTTTGATATCAGCGTAGATATCAAATTCCCTTTCATTTTCTGTTTAACTGCATATAATGTTATTAAAAGTCACTCTAATCCTATTCAAAGTTTTGTTAATGTCCATAGAATTATTGAAAGAAGTGCACTGAAAGTAAACAGAAGTGAGGAAACAAAATGCAGTCATATTCAGCATTAAAAAGCATCTCATTACTCCTCATAATTAAAAAAAATACTAATTACAATGAGCACGGAATTGCACATTTGCCAAATTAATACCCGTAGAGAACCGAAATTACAGTACATATTAAAACAGAGGAAATGAGGAAATATAAATATCTCATCCTGTTGTGTGCATCACCGGTTGGATTCAAAGCAGGGTTACACAACCAGACAGAAATAACCTCGTACAATGTGAGAATTGATTCAAAATATTCATAATAGACAGAAATGTCTTAGCAAGAGAAACCCTTATTGTGCAAAAAAAAAAAGCCTTTGATTTGATTCAAGGTGCAAATAAGTGAGACTTTGAGATCACCTGATTAAACTCTCATTGCCAAAAGAAATTCAATCTAATTCAAGCACTTATTAGGCCCTGCAGCCTTTCAGGCAAATTGGGCCCAAAGGGAAGATCTATTCAAACCAACAGAGGCCTCACAAACACTGGAGACTGTAGCACTGTTCCCTCAGCTGCATTCCGAATCAAGACATAGCTGTATAATATCTCTTCAATCTTTAATTAGCTTGAGCCTTAAAATGTACACGCAGTGGCTGGAAGGTATAAGAGGTGCTCACTTCCTACTTGAGAGATCAAAATCGAGAGAATTATAGCTCATCTTGTTATCTCCTTAAAACAAGAAGGGAGGGCATGTCGTGTTGCATAAGCAACAAACAGTGATGTGTTTTTGCATTGAAAATAAGATTCCAGGGGAAGAAGATGCAGTGTTGAGCGTTTGAGACAAAAAGGTGAGGCCCTCCATTTTGAATGGCGTGATCCTCTTCTGCTGAAAGAAAGAGGGATCAAGACGGAAGGAGAGGAGAGACGCCCAGGTGGATGAGGAGATTGAGACGGAATGAGATGCAACATTAAGCAGATCGATTTTAAAATTCCGCGCACCGGAGCTGGCCGTAAATCACGCAAAAAAACTCACAGAGGTAAAAAAGCCGTCATTTGTCTTGTTTACGAGAGGAGGAACAATATGGATGCATGGCATGTCTTATCGCTGGGCAGTGGGGCAATCGGAGAGGAATATAACAAGGGTAGCTTAGCTGGGAGGGCATATATCATTCCTGGATGAGCTTAGTCAAGCTGAGAGAAGCGCCAGTTTTCAAATCAGCCTCTGAGGCTTTTTATGCAGACCGACAGGGAGAGGGTAAGGCTTTCATGTCTGCTCGTTTGCATATGCAGAACAGCCATAGAAACAAGTTATTTGAAAAAAGAGAAAAAGAGTTGCGACTGGCAAAAGGAAAGAGAACCAGGAGTAAGAGCTGAAATCTAACTTCCTCTCTAACCACTTGAATTATAATGTTGCAAACTTTCTGAAGAATCCTCGCCCGCGATGGCAAAGACATTTCTTTTTAAACTGACACTGAAAATCTTTTCCAAACACACTTTGAAAACATGTTCAACAGGAATACAAATAGTAATAATTTTTCCTATTCAGCCTTGGCATTGATCCAAAATTCAAATTTGTTTAAAATTTTATAATTATCATAATAAGGAAGCTCACTTATTACTTTTTTTATACACTTGACTCTAATGTTTCTAATGTTTCTTCCAGATCCACGTCAACTAAGATTTTTAGAATCGGTTACAAAATTTTATTTAGTACTGGTATCAACACCTATTTCAACTTTCTACTGGGGCAATGCATGCTTTAATCTGCTTTATTAATTGCAATAAATTGAAAAAAAACATTTCCTATTTTGCACTTGAAGACTTCTTGATTTGTCAGAGTGATACAACAAGGTCTTAAAATAGGTTATCCCTCAAACACACATGCATACAAACTAATAATCCCTCTCGGCATTGTGGTGGCCTGCTGTGGTCAGTCAGAGACGTTAATTACCAGCGTGTCTCGTTAGCAAGATGTGCTTTACGCAGCAGTGGGCCCCGACCGCCCTACTGCTAACCCTGCTCTCCATTAAATCTCACCAATTACTCTAATCAGCGTGAAGATGTGGAGCACTTCTTTTGAAGGAAAAAAAAAAAAAAAAGGGGGCTAATTAAGACACACATGGCCGGCCACTTAGTGCCGCTCAGCCAAAATACTTCAGTCAGTGGAGACAAACCTCGGTCGGGGGCCACAGTCAGGAATCAAAAGCACGGGGAGAAAAAAAAAAAAGGACCGGGCACCTTTTATCTGGATTTGTAAAGGTTGGGGGCAAATAAATAAATAAATAGCCGTGAATTCACTGAGGTTTTCATTGTCAAACGTGTACATTTGCCTGTGCATGTGTGTGCGCGTGTGTGTGTGTGTGTGTGTGTGTGTGTATGTGTGAGTGTGTGTTCGTGTGTGTGTGTATGCCGGAGCTTCAGAGGTTAAGCCTCCTTTGTAGGCCGGGAACCTGTCAGTTCAAAGGGTTTGGCTCTCAAACAGAAACAGGGGGAATAGGAAGGAGCCTCATATGTCATGCACTTTAACATTAGACAAAAATGTTATTCCAGATATGGGAGGGGGGGGGTATCTACATTTCTATTTGGCATCATAAAAAAAAGGCTGGAGTTGTTGGGGAAAATTTTCTCAACCACACACACACACACACACATGACACCAGCAGTGGCTTCGGGCCCTAATCACAGAGCCTTTGTCAGACACAGTCAAAAACTTTTACACTCCCTGCCGCTCTGTGCCGCTTGTTGCTCATCGCTGTGAATGTGAATGATGAGATCAAAAGGTGCAAAGACGGAACGGATCAAGCGTGGAATCTGTTTTATTGCCCCGGAGAGTAATCAGGGCCCGGGCGCCCGCCACAGAGAGGTGAGCGCGCTCCCGCTCAGCCAGATGAGCGCGAGTTGTGTGTGTGTGTGTGTGTGTGTGTGCGTTTGTGGGTCGCGTTCTCGGATGTCTGCCTGCGCGAGCGCGTCTTCCTCGCCTTTATATTTTTGTATTTGCGACACGGGAGTGCTTCTGTGCGCCCGTCGCCCACTTGAGAATACCGCAGATGTATTTAAAACGCAGAAAAAAAGAAAAAAAAAGAAAAAAAAAAGGTGTTGGCCAGATGGGCAGAGAGCTGCTTTTGCTGTTTCATCCACACTCGTGTTAAATTTAGCCCCCCACTCCACCACAACAACAGCTGCTGGAGCTCCGAGAGATGAGGGTGGAGGGAAGAGGGTGGAGGAATGGACAGAGATAATGTAAGAGAGAGGGAGAGAAAGGGAGATAAGTGGCTGGAAAATGGAAAAAATTGTGACAGGTGAGTTCGGGGAGTTAAAGGGGGAATGACAGATCATAAAAAAAACAAAGAAAAGAGGGGAGGCAGAGCAAAAGGCTGAGGTTTGTCTCCGTCTCCTGTCAGATACGCCGGGCGGAGGGCTGTGAGAGAGGGGGCTTGGTGCGGTTGAGTGATGGAGGGAGCGATGTGGGAGGACTACATCAGCTTGTCTGAACTCACAGTGGTGCATGGGGCTCGGCGCCTCCTCATCACTGTCTATCACTTCTATTCCTGACAGCTCAATGTCAGCGAGAGTGGAAACTGAGGCGGAGGTACTGACGGCGGAAGGGAGGAGCGCGAGTGGAAGTCCTGGGGATCCGGACCGCGTTAAAGCCGCTAAAAGGAAAGCTGGCCGAGAGATGCTGTGGAAACGGGAGTGTGAATTTTCTGGCCTACTCTGGAGTGATTTATTCCGTGTGTGTGTGTGTGTGTGTGTTTCGGGATGCGCCCGCATCCCTCGTGCAGGTCCACCGGCTCACCTGCTCCACCCAGACGCCAGATCCCTCCTCGGGAGCCCAGACGATCATGGTTTTGTCCATGGAGGCAGAGAGCAGGCCGACGGGCTGTCGCAGCTCGCCATCTACAGGGGGAGACAAAGACAAAGACCGGCCGGTGGGCGTTCAGGACCAGCTTAAACAACCAATAACAACAACCAGCTGACACCTGAGTAACTGCACTGAGCCTTAGGAAAACATCTGATGGCCTTTGAACTTAATGGCTAATTTTCTATGGCGAAAAAGAACAGAATTCTGTTCTATGCCCTTATAACAGATACCATTTTCAGTTTGAATACACACTGGAAAGCTTAACTCTGTGCAAATTAGTGTTTTTACAGAAAAATAATCAAGACCAGACTAATTGAATCTCTGTACAGGGAGATTTTTGCACCACGACAAGAAATGGGAGAAAAAAAAGCATTGCAAGTGATGAAGATGCAATAAGTTATTAAGGCTGAACATTTCCCAAGAGAACCGATTCAGCCAACAGCTTCTAAACAAATTGTTTCATTTTAAACTGTCACTCTCTTTCTGCCTTTTCTTAGCAACAGCGCTGAAACCCCTACAAAAAAAAGAACGATCATCTCCCTTCTACAATCTGTGAAAATCAAGCTGATCAAGTGGTTAAAACGTTGAATGGTTATTGTGTCAAAATGTTAAACTTTACCCTTTCAGAAATGGGAAAAAGGATCAACTGGCGATTCGCTAAAGACACAATGAAATGTTCAACTCTCCTAAAAAACTGTTAGTGACCGGTCCAGTGGCTGGATTTTTAAATCAAAGCACCTTTGTAGGCGGGAGGCTGCCAGTGAACTCCGTAGACCCAGTTTTCGTGGCCTGCCAGGACCGTTTCGAGGGACACAGCAAACACTGAGGAAGCTTCTGTGGCACAAACACAAGGCTGGAATGAGAAGGGCTGGGACGGCTTTATCCCATGCAAATGTACTGTACATCACAATAAAAAAAGGTAATAAAGGTGATAATAAGCGTTTCTGTGGCTCACAACATGGAAAAACGTAAACGAGCATATCGCTCTTATTTAGTTTTCGTTAATTAACAACTTTACCAGGCTCAGAGTCACGCCTGGCCGGACCACTCACCCTTCTCCTTCACTTCAAAAACGTCCTCTTTCACTCTGATGACGGCCGGGTCGTCCTCTGGGTCTGAGCCAGACTTGGCACAGAGCCTCCACACTCGGATGAGAGAGTCCTGCGAACAGCTGGCTAATAACAGCTCCCCACCTGAGCGAGCCGGAGAGAAAAAAAGCGTGAAAGGTCTCTCCACTCATCAGAAGCCGGCGTTATTGGGCTGACGCAGCACTGACGCCTGATACGCGCGTCCTGCAGATCTGACATTTAACTGAAAGGAAACTTTGAAACCAAATCGAATTTTAATACATCCAAGAAATACCGGTGACGGCATGCTCGAATGACCGTGTTCCTTCTCCTCATCCAAGGGGCTCAGCCTTCACAGGGCTGTGTCAAGCGTGTACTTCGCGCTCACACTTCGCCCTGGACTCTTTAACACTCGTTAACTTGTCAGGTCATGTTTTGAGACTTTGAGAGATAGGACACCGACTCACGTCTCATCCTTTTATTGGATAATCTCTTAAGCTGCACTCTAGTCCACCACAGGCCTTTACGAGTATTATGCCGCGCAAATGGGAGACAAAGTATTTTATCTGACACCAGAGCTGATGATCGAGGCATCGAATGTTGGCCAAAGCTGAACAATTAAGTACGAAGTTATAGTTTCACGATATGTAACGTGCTCTACAACCTTATGTGGAATCTCTTTGGGGCTTCCAGCTCCTGTTTCTATCACATATCTGTGAGACTTATTCTCAGGTCTCTGTGAGGGTGGCTTCTTGTTGCGATGCAGCCAGTTAGACAGCGGGAGTTCGGGCCAAATATACCCAGACAGGTGGTAAACAGAGCGCACGCCGTTATTCTTCAACGTCCCTGTCTTTCACATTCCGCGTGCCAGTTTTAGTTCAGTCGCCGTTGATTCATTTTTATCTCTGCCAAGATAAACAGTCATTAAACAAACCCCTCTGCTGCTACCACCTAAAGCCTTCTGAGTCAAGAGGGAAGGCCAGGCTAATATATTTTATTGATTATGGTGTAATGAAACGGGATAATAATGACAGTTATGATTGGTTTTGTTTCTTGCCTGGTTTTTGTTTCTTGCTCGAACAGGTGACCGTCAGCATGTTTACACCTCACTGGTTTACACTTTGACACAAGAAGACTTTTGGATTCATGAATCTTCTAACAGCTCAATGTTTTAGTGATTTCCAACAAAGTTTCAAAGAGAAAACTAATGATTTAGTTAAGTGCTGAGGGGGGAATAGTCTGCAAAACCAAGACTCTGCAGTAGACAATTTAAAACAGATTGCGCAAAGAGAAACACAGAACTTTGCATCATGCATTAAATCCAATATGATTAAGTGCCTTTCTGGTGCAGCAATTTTCCCGCTGGTCATCTGTCTTTGGAAGAAAAATTAAAAATTTATTTGGGGGAGGGATGTGCCATTTTTTAAACTGGAACACTTCATATAAACAAACCTCGCTTTCTGAGCAGTGGAGAGGAGACACAGGCAAAGAGGTTAAGGAGATAAAATGGAACAGTGCGGGCATGAAGCAGCACTGAGATTATTTCAGTGGTTTCATTGTTGTTTTCATCTATTTTTGCTTTGAGGAGGTCGTGGAGTTCTGCTCAAGCATTTGTCACAGAACTGGAGACAGACTCTCATTGAAAATCTGCTCCAGCACATCTCAGTTTTAGTGGCATGCTATCTGAAGGATTACTGCTTTGAATCAGCTCCAGACAACTGAGAATGCTAATTAAATCATTTCAGCCTTCAGATGACAAAGACCGCCGTAACAGCATCAGGCAGACGACAAAAATGAATTTTCCATGTGCACTGAGCAGAATTTGACCAGTCAAGGTCCTCTGGCCCAATGGCAGCGGTCGCTGGACCTGATTTGCACGTTTTTGAAGGCATTTTGGAAGCCTCTTTCAGAATCAACACATCTGTTGATCTAAGATGAAAATTTCCTTCTTTAAATACAGTTATGTTGCGCCCCAAAACTGTAAAAGCAGCCCAAGAGCAAAATCTTCTCTGGTGTTACTTTGAATAAAGCATAAGGAAAAGGGGTTTGGCCATAAACAGAAGTTGTGTAACGCTCAGGCCTACACAAAAACTACATGGCAGTGTCACTCACTTGTAGACGCCCATTCCACTCCACGAATCCAGTCCTCGTGTCCTTGCAGAGACATGGCTTTCTGCAGCTATTGTGAAGCGATTCAAGACAGTCAGTGGCTTGCTCTCGAGATTTGACGAATATGAACGAAACAGATGAAACCGGACGCATAACGGAGCCACTCGAGAGTTGGGAAGTGATCTGAGCTTACCTGCCCGTTGGTCCGAGTGTACAGGTGCACCCGGGAGTCGTCACCTCCACAGGCCAGTATGGGAACTGGGAGAGACACAATCAACAGAGTACACACACGGAGGTCAGGGCCAAGCCCCACATCCAACAGACGAAAGGCGTAAAAGAGAACAAGAGTGACAGGACCGCGTTTTGAGCACCACGTTCAGTTCCAGTAACTAAAACAGCAGTATAAATGAGAGGGATGACATTCGTTTGTGTATGTAAATGTGTGCATCTTAAAGAGTGTGTTTACTTACCTTTGGTGCCCGGTAACAGCGCCAGAGAGACATCCATCATGAAACCACTGCCAAATGATAGGCTATGGAGGCACTCAGCTGAGGAGCACACAAGCATACTGAATTAAACACTACAGTAATATTGTTGTCATAATTAAGATTATAAATATTTAATAGTGTACATGTTGTGCAGAGGAGAGAATAGAGGAGTGAATAGAGGCATGCATGAAAAGCCCTCTTTTGCCTCCTCCTGAGAGAAATATTTGCAATAAGACAAATGTCCTCCTTACTAGAGAAGCTGCCAACATGTTATAGATCAAACATATCTTTGGACATATAACCTAGTCTGCTTCAAACATAAAGTACACTTAATCTGTCTGACTGTATTCATATTCTGGGTGGATAAAAACGCTTGAAAAGTGAAAGTTAATGTCAAAATCAGCATAGGTGCAAGTAAAGTTTATCAACTGCAAATTGAATTCCATGAATTCTGTAAATATACATTTCTAAAAAGTCTGTTTTTCTCCAGCTTGTCGACTTCCTCTGATTCCACAACACAAAGACTTTAAAAGGAATACTTTTAGGATCACTCTCCTCAGTCATGGATGCAACTTTTTAGAGGCACTGCTTTAACTTGCAATCACGTTTTGGTTTCGGCATCCATATGGTCCGAATGACCACAACAAGGACACGGGCTAAATGATGAACAAGTCTTTCTACCACATGTGTCTCCCTCTTACCTTCTTTGGTGCCATTGCAGAGCCATAGTCTAACTGTGGAGTCTGATGCAGAGGACGCCACCAGGATCTCCGAGTCCTGGATGTAGATGGCATCCACAGCACAGATGGGACCATTATGGCCCTTGCACGCCACTAACTGGACAAACTGGGAGCAGCCCTAGACAAGCACAAAAATAATAATAATGTATACCATATACAGTTACTTAACATGACGCTGAAAAGATGTAAAATAGTAAAACCAGGTTCAGTAAATACAACACATGATTACCTTTCCATCTTGAGCTTCCCACAGGATGAGCTGATTGTCTGAGCCTCCAGAGACAAGATGACGCTCTGGCCCTAGAAAACAATGTCATGCTGTTATGACCACAATTACAATTAGCAAAGCTCAGTTTTTCAGTGCCTTGGCCCTATCTACCAGTTATGTACAAGGTTATTTTCGTTGAAGGGAAGAAAACAAATATAAATTAGCTCTGAGGAGTGTGAGAGGTTTTTTAGGGCTGTAGCAACAGCACAAATATGCATTTAGCTTTTAAATTAATTGGTTGTCCACTGCAGGGCAGTTTAGACACTGCAAAATTGCAGGGACTCAATGGATAATGGAGATTCAATCTACGTGAAAATGTTTCCTGTCTGAAAGATTTTGGTGTTAGTTATTTTACTGCAGAAACATGGATGGAACAAATCTTAGAGAGGTCAGTTCAGAAAAAAAGGAAAAAATCAAATTTATAAGTGATGCACAATAATTAGCAAACATATAAGAACTCAACTACACATGGAGATACATTTGGCACCACTAAATTACTCATAGGTTAGATAAAATTAGTTGAGTCGTCCTCAATGGGATATTTCTATAACTGAAACATCCAACAGAGGCATGGGGACCTCCCACATTGTTGAAGCTATTCAGTAACATATTTTTGGTTGTGGTGATTAAAAAAACATATATAATAATACACAATGATAATATATGGATTGTTAACAAGTTAAAATGAAGAGTGTTGTTGCATCTCTCATTGACACCAGTATGAGTCTCACCATTGTCCTTTTTGTGAACCCACTGGACTGCATTCACTCTGTCTGTGTGTCCATTCAGGAGAGCGACAACTTTCCTCTCCTGCAGTACACAAAATCACGTGTTTTATCAGCTGTCAGACAAAGTAGTCGTCAGTTTAAAACTACAGAGTGAGTGACTGGAGTTAGCTTCAACATCCAACCCGAATGAATGGCTCGTTTTCGGTAAGATGCGATATTTTACTCTACCTGTGGGTTGTACAGAGCCACGGAGTGGCATGTCCCGAAGGCAATAAGCCCCCCTCGGCCCCAAGAAACAACGTTTGGGGTTCTGTTTGCACAACAGGCTACATGGCATGTTTCAATTAAGGGTGCCGCCATCTTGGAGGCAGAAGTTGTGGAGTTACTGCTGATGGTGCCGTGTGTAAACGGTACCTGAAGAACAATAGTTCCGTCTCGACAGAAACAAAAATCTCTTGTTTATGTCTTTACTTGCAGAAAGAAATCCACATTTATGTGTGTAAATAATCTTTGAGCAGTAGTTCATATATTGGTTCTTACAATGTAATAACGATTACTTAGACGAAGACCATAAGCTGAACTGCTACATAAAGTCCAGTAGATGGCGGAAGATAGTCACAAAATTTGATCTTAGTATTTGAGGCAGTTTAATGTTGAATTCATTTATACCACTACAGAAAGCTGAATACAAAATGTATTATAGTAATGTCCAAATTTTTATCAGAGTACCTAAGTGTTTCACAATCTAACTCAACCACTTCTAAGCAAGGTGCACTAGAAAAGAAGAAATTAATTAATGAAATACTATAAAAGATGGAGGTAAATGACAGATGACATTTCACATTGTGCTGACAGCTCCAATACACACACTGCTGTGTCAGGCCGTGTTATCCCCCACCTACACTTGATGAAGGATGACTGATTGCAGCAGAGCGAGCTGCCGGCCACAAAGGCTTCCCTGTTCTAAATAAGTCAGTAAATAGACATATAACTAGCTAAATTATTATTTTCTTAAAGCTGCAACCTTAGGCATTTTACATTTTAAAGGTTGAGGAGACACTGTTGTTACCAGGAGTTTCCAGGCACCCACTTGACATGATTGGAGAGAAAAATGTTCTGGGGTCTGTGAAGCCTTGAGTGTTATTATAGATGACAGTGTAGCAAAGGCAAACAGGGATACGACCAAATAATGTGAGGAAGACAGAGGGAATAAAGGAGGGGTTGGGCTCATTTTGGTTCCCTTTTGACCAGTCTGACTTGCAGTGTATATATGCATGAAAAACACCAAACAGACACACTGTCACCAACTCTTGGGCAGGAAATGGATTATGTTTGCCCAGCTGTTTTTTCCCTCTTCCCTCAGTTTGAATTAAACAAGATTTGGACACATTTGGCAGGGTGAGACAACCCCTGAGTTGGATGCCCATGCATCTGTAGCTCTTATCTCCAATGTGGCAGCGAGGCGATGGCTGGGCCGTAACTGTGTCTGTGGAGAAGTATCTCTATTATCTTTGCTCTGCTTTGACTGTGCATTCATCATCTGCCTTGCGGTGAAACCTCTGTAGCTGCTTATGTAATGCAGGATTAATTTGATCAAATGCAGCAACTCGTAGCAGGAAAGAGGGGGTTTATTTCAGAAAAAAAAAGCCTGTTCCTTTTTAAACGCCTGGACAAAAGACTGTGAGGATACACCTCCGTCTGTAATGGTTTATGAGCATGTCCTTGATCCATAACAACAATCATTCCATTTCTTCGACACAAAGCTCTCTTTTTGTCACTGAAGTAGAAATCGTCCATGGTAAACGCCATCCTCAGCAGCGAGGGCCGTGGTTTTAAGAAAAGAAAGAAAGGTTCTGTATGGTTTGTGTGTGACAAAAAGTAAAGAGCTACAGTATTGCCATCTTAATATTTTACAACGAGCAAAGTTCTGTCTGCTTTTGCGAGTCGTTATAACTACAATTTATTTCAATTTGTTAAAGCCATGGTCATTTGCATGTGTGGGATATTGTTGTTAAAGGTGGGCCATTTGTCTGATCAGCTTTTTCACTTTATTGTGTTTGAGTGTTGTCACAAAGTGCCTTACTCATCGGGGCGTTTGGGAAACTGTGAAACTGTTTTTTAAGACTAGATAGCAATTTCAGAAAATCACTTGTGAATACTTATGAGGGAATGGAGAGACCTTTTTTGTGTTAAAACATCCTAAGTGGGGTCAAGGTGTCAATAGAGTACTTTTGTAATTCTCTTACCAGCCACCCTGGACAAGCATAATTTAAACAGTTATAGTTCAAATTAAAAATGAACAGACAAACATGTAATTTTATTATTTCACAATTCAACATTTAAAGGAGCTCCCATTGTTTGCAGCCAGTAATTGTGTACTACTTCACTCTCCTTTAAAGACAAGGTTCCAAAAAACTTGATTTGTCATAGTAATGCTACACGTGGGCCTTTCAATGCAACTGAAGACCATTTGTGTTTTTTATATCTTTACATTTCCCCATGTGTTTACATGTGCAGTTGACAGCTGTCATACAAAATCCATCAGAAGGATACTGCCTCGTTTTACTTTACTTTACCTTATTCGAATCGATTAGAGCGTCTGGTTTCTTCTTGATCTCTGACTTGGTTGTGCCCCACTTTTGCATCTGAGACAATGTCATATTCAATCTGAACCATGCTTGTATCAGCATAAAGACCTGTCAGCCAGCCAGGATTCAACTCCTCTAACCTTATTAACAAGTCAATGCTGGTGGGGAATTATTGGTTTTCTTTTCAAAATGTGTTTGTCCGCACAAACAATCATTCTCGTAATTAAACATTTTCAGCAAATCTATAATTTGATGCCAACTTCACATGGTACAAAAAAACAAACAAATGAATACAGTTTAAAAAGAGTATACACAATTATGACAGTTTTCTGGAAGATTCTCTCATCAGAGGATTATTCGATGGCACATGAGAAGAAAGGCTGGAGGCTTAATCTTTCACATCAAGGATGAATCATTACTTACTGCTATGAGCTGAACTCTGTCTGAGAATCAACAAGTTCCAAACACACAAGTCTAAATTATATGATTTTGTGACATTTTTCTAGGATCTGATGAGTCCACGACTCAACTTCTGATGGTGAAAATGGATCAGGTGCAATATGCAAGTTAGAATTTTCAAGTCCCTAAACATTAAAAGAAAAGGATTCACAAAGTAACTCCTATGAACTATGAAAACTTTTCACGGGTCATTTAATAAAAACACTGCAAAGCCAAGTAGACTTCCAGCAAGGATACTTCACCTCAGTTTGAACTCCTGTCCTCTACGGAGGTTCTCCCTGGTCACTGTATCATGCTAAGAGGCTGAGTTCAGCTGCAGGTCTCAGGCAAGGGCACAGCACTTTAACACGCAAGGATTCGGAGTGGGGTTTCTTGAGGACACGTTCAGCTGACCAGCAGGTTCAGAGTTACTGTTTCCCCAGAGGCCAGGGTGAATGTGTGTGTAAACGGTGCTGTGAAAGCCTCGACAGAACGACTACAAATCATTGCATTACACCAATATTTTAAGGAAGATCGGTGTAATGCAAATTACTTCACAATAAAACCATATTTATTTATTTTTTAATTAAAAAAATTGATGAAAAAAATAAAGAAATAAAATAAAATAAGTAAAATAAGAACATTAAAAAAAAAAATGAAATAAAATAAGAACATTTAAAATAAATAAATAAATAAAAATATATTTTAAAATAAAATAAAATAAAATAAAATAAAAATTATTTAAAAAGCATATTTCTACATAAACAAATTTCTTTCTCCTGCAGGAGAATTCCAACATCTTACAAAGCAAATTTCAGTTTTCAGTTTTATCCAAAGAAGGGACGATGACTCTGTGAACTTGTTTACGTTTTGCGATATGCAAAATCGCTATCTCCTTATGCCAGTAGCCCCCGTCCCAGGAGCTGTAGAGGCAGATGGAATGTTACAGAGAGATAGAAAAATCTGCACATCTAAAGCACAGAGAGAAACTGTAGCAGCTGTTAGCGACACAAACCCAGTATAAGCATCTCCTAGATGAGAAGGCAAAAAAGAGGCTTTTTTATTTGCGTGGAGTTAAAGCAAAAACAGTTTAAATGCAACATGCCTGAAGGAGATGAAAGACAGAGGAGCAAATATTGATTATTCCCGAACAAATTAGCGACCGCTCAGAAAACATCTGCCTCATTCAGTGAGAACAGACACACGTCTGTGTGTATTTGAGCCTGTGGTTCGGAAGCTGTTTGTCAAGCTGTTAACTATTCCGGCTGAAATGTTACAGGACAATTGTGTTTCTTATCTTTTTCTTCCTCTTTAACTTATCTACTCTGACCGAAACAATTTAAGCCAGCAAAAGTTGATACAGCACAGCGCAAGTAGCCCAAGTGGGGCTTGTTATCAGCCGGAGGAGAGCCTTAAGTGCAGCTTACCAAAACAAACCACCAGATATCATCTAGCTCTTGGTAGACCCATTCATCAAAGCAGAACACAACCTTGTCCACTCAACTGCCTACATACTTTTATAATGATACACGCAGTGTGCTGTTGGAGATATACCAATGGAAACGGGTTCGTCTAAAAGTCTGGCTGTGGGGTTTTGAATAAATACTGACTGGGACCGAGAGTGGCAGACAGGCTTAACACACACCCCCCCACACACACACACACACTCGACTGTGACTGTGACTGTGTCCACAGCTGACACACAGTGCGAGCCAGCCACCAGAGTTGATGATAAAACAGGCGGCCAAAGCCACTAACGGAGCCATAGTGCTTCCACACCATCTGCTGGGTTTGTATTAGGAGGCATTGCTCAACTCTTGTCATCCACTGATTGCTCTTGTAAATTAGGAAATTGTGGTGCCACTGGAGGATATATAGAGGGTTTCAGAACGGCTTTTTTTTTGGCTCAGACGCAGGCAATAAAATTCATTCAGATACAAGTCACTGGGTCACAAACTAAGATGAGCAAAATGGGTTTGTTGTTTGCTTTTGAAAATGACAGCTGACAGGAGATTTAAAGAACCTGGGATCTGTTGATTTTAAATGTGTGTCATTGTATGTCACTAAGGCTTTTCTCATTCCAATATTTGGGCATTTGGGCCACTCTTTACTGTCAGGGGGGATTATTAGCTTCTCGGTTGAGCTGAAAAATTCTCTAGTTTCTAAAACAGCAATAACAAAATATTCGCAAATTACAGAAATGTGATACTTTGATTTACTGTCCTTTTCAAATAGGCGTGACAATGGTTTTACCTTTTGATTACGTAACCTACCAAAACTGTCGAATGAGTGTTTTAAATCAAAGGAAATCAGAAGGAAATTTTACTACTCTGACTTTCTGAGATGTGTCAGGAAAATGCGTTT